CCCCAAAACCCCAAAACCCCAAAACCCCAAAACCCCTTTAGTGAGACTAAAAATTGAGCGTTAAATATTTAAAATTTCATAAATGGAAACTACAACTGACACTACTAGCATTCCGTTCATTACTTTTAACAAGCAGTTTGAAGTCAACCCTGATGCGTTGGAGTTTTTGAGCCAATTCACTGGCAAAATTGGGGTCATTTCTATATGCGGGAAGTACCGCACTGGCAAATCTTACCTACTCAACAGAATCGTTGAAGCTGGAATGAAGGATGACTGTGAAAAGTCAAATTATATAGAGAGAAAAATGGCTTTCAATGTAGGGCCTACAGTAAATGCCTGCACTAAAGGACTCTGGATCCTTAACAAGCCACTGTATGCTAACCAAAAAGGTGAAGAAATCCCTATAGTTGTGATTGACACAGAGGGACTTGGGGCTGTTGATGTTGATCAAAACCATGATTCTAAGGTCTTCTTGCTATCATTACTCCTGTCAAGTCTCTTTGTGTACAATAGTGTTGGGACAATTGATGAGACAGCACTGAACTCGCTTGCTCTTGGAATTAATTTATCTGCCCAGATAGAAGATCTTGGAGAATATTTTCCATCTTTTCTCTGGGTGTTAAGGGATTTCTCCCTCAAACTCGAGGATGAAACTGGAAATGAGATCTCTGCTAAAATGTACCTTGACCTTGCCTTGAAAGAGCAGAAAGGCTCTTCTGATAATATTGAGTCGAAATAACAGAATTAGAAGAATGATCAAACATTTCTTTCATGAAAGAGACCTCAGCGTACTAATGAGACCAACAGAGAAGGAGTCTGACCTTCAGAAACTACTTGAGATCAAGGATGAGGATCTAAGACATCAGTTTATCAAAGGACTTAATAACTTGAGAAACAAGGTATTCAAATAAAGTCCAAGCCAAAAAATTGAACCAGACTTTTATTAACGGATCAATGTTAGGAGATCTGGCTGTAGCATATACTAAGTCTCTAAATCAAGGTTCAGTTCCTAGGATAGAGAGTTGCTGGGATTATATGATTGAGGCAGAGAATAAAAAAGGAATCTTGACAGCATTCAGATCTATGCAAGATCAACTAAATGAACTGATTTCTGACCTTCCCATGAACGAGGAACAGCTTCAGGATCATAAAAATTCGATCCTTAATCACACAATACGAGTATTCCAAGAAATCTCAATAATTTCTAAAGACCAAAATCTTGGCTCCCACATCGAAAATATCTCAAATAAACTCGAGCAGGAGTTTTTAAATGTACTCAGAGAGAATCGAGAAGTGACCAAGTCCCTTTTAGAAGCTTATTTCGACAAGCATTTTAAACCTCTGGTTAATAAGAATTTAAGCCTCCAGAAGTACAAGAATTTTCAGGACTACAACAAAGAGATGGAAATGTTCAGAGCACAATTCAGTAAAGAAATGAAGGATAAAGGGTCGAATATTGAGCTGATGATCGATCAAATTTTCTTCAGGTTCAACTCCTTGGTCTACCAAGAGATATCTTCCTCAAACTGACACCATGTAGAGCTTGAGCTCGCTGCGACTAAGGAAAGACTTAGAATCGCAGAAGAGGACATCCAACGCCAAAGAGTTGAATTTCTTGAATCCAGAAGTTTATTAGAGAGTAAAATAAACCAACTTGAGAGTGAGAGAGTCCATTTTTCAGCACAGAATCAAATTCTTAACGAGAAAATCTCTCTTAAAGACCAAGAAGTTCAAAATGTTTCGTTTTCCTGGAAGCAGAAATGGGAAGAAACTAACGAGAATTTGTCTAAAATTCAAAAGCAATTTGGCACTCTCGAGGAGAAATACCAAAAGCTTAAGGAAGAGTCCTCTCAAAAGGAGATTAATTTTGTTAAAGAAAACAGTGAGATTATGACGCAGAAAAAGATGGCTGAGAATGAGGCTAAATTTCTCCGTGAACAAGTCAGCCTAAAAGATGTCAAAATAAAGGATTTACAAGATTCTATCATGGCTCTCAAGGGGAGAAATCAACAGCCCGTTATTGAAGTCAAGGAAGTCCCTGTCCTTCAAGAACAGACTGAGAATGATGAAAGAGATAAACAAATTGAGCAATACAAACTTGATTTACGTCATCTCAATAAAATCAAGGAGAACATGGAAGTCACTTGTCAGTCCTTGCAGAAGGAAAATATTCAGATTCTCGACGAAAACACTGACTTGAGCAAGACTCATCGAAATTGTAAGATTTAGCCATAATAATTTATAGTGGTTGACGAAAAGCAAGAAAATAAAAAGCTGACTAAGAAATTACTGGACCATCTTAAAAATAAATTAATCGAGAAACACGAGTCTAATTGAGCCTTAAAGACAATGTGCTCAACAATGGAGGAAAGTTATGCCCAAATACAAGCAGATCATAACCGGATGAAGGAACAAATTGAGTCTTACAAAAGAATCGAAGCTGCTTTTGAAGGGTGCACTAGTTTCAAGTGAAAGTCATGCATGAGACTTATATCCTCAGCGAACTTTATCAACCACCAAGAGTTATGCAACAGTTTATTTGACATTCCGTTGGACATTACAGTGTGTGATTTTGTGAAGCAGTCCTCTCCAGGTGAGAGATCTCCTCACTATGCGTATAATATCAGTATCACAGTTCTGAATACCACGTGGTGCATTACAAAGAGGTTTAAGCAGCTATGGATCCTCCACAAGAAGCTAATGGCTAGCTTCCAGTCCAACCAGGAGAGGCTCAACGAGTTCGTAGAAAACACTAAGCATCTTGAGTTTGAAGAGAGAGTTGAGAAAATCAACGATAAAGAAAGAACCAAACTTGCCAATGAAAGAATGTACTTTATTAGAGACTATTTGGCAGCAATCATTGACTTTGATTATGTCAGAAAGAACCTCGATTTTAATAAGTTCATGGAGATTTATGAGCATTTCGATGATATCCAGGAAAACGCAGAAGTAGCCGAAGCCTCGAGTAATAGCTTTGTAGAAGAAGTATCTGAAGAAGAAAGTCAAAGAATTGAGAGTCTCGAGAACGGACTTACTTCTTTCATTTTAAAGAATAATCAATAATTTCATGTTTTCAATAAGTCTTGTAATAATAGGGGTTTTGGGGTTTTGGGGTTTTGGGGTTTTGGGG